GACTGGGAGATTGGGAATGGGGATGGGAAATGTGGGGATTAAACTGCAAAAACCTGACTGGGAGATTGGGAATGGGGATGGGAAATGTGGGGATTGAGCTGCAAGAACTGCCTGGAGATTGGGGATGGGAAATGTGGGGTTTAAACTGCAAGAACTGCCTGGGAGATTGGGAATGGGGAGGGAAATGTGGGGTTAAACTGCTGAAACAGCAAAAAACTGACTGGGAGATTGGGGATGGGAAATGTGGGGATTAAACTGCAAAAACTGCCTGGGAGATTGGGGATGGGGATGGGAAATGTGGGGTTTGAACTGCAGAAATAGCAAAAAACTGACTGGGAGATTGGGGATGGGAAATGTGGGGTTTAAACTGCAAAAACCTGACTGGGAGATTGGGAATGGGGAGGGAAAATGTGGGGATTAAACTGCAAAAACCTGACTGGGAGATTGGGAATGGGGATGGGAAATGTGGGGTTTGAACTGCAAAAACCTGACTGGGAGATTGGGAATGGAGATGGGAAATGTGGGGATTAAACTGCAAAAACCTGACTGGGAGATTGGGAATGGGGATGGGAAATGTGGGGATTTACTGCAGAAATAGCAAAAACCCGACTGGGAGATTGGGAACGGAGATGGGAAATGTGGGGTTTAAACTGCAGAAGCAGCAAAAACCTGACTGGGAGATTGGGGATGGGAAATGTGGGGTTTAAACTGCAAGAACTGCCCGGGAGATTGGGAATGGAGAGGGAAATGGGAGGTTTAAACTGCAAAAACCTGACTGGGAGATTGGGAATGGGGATGGGAAATGTGGGGTTTGAACTGCAAAAACCTGACTGGGAGATTGGGAACGGGGAGGGAAAATGGGATTAAACTGCTGAAACTGCAAAAACCTGCCTGGGAGATTGGGAATGGGGATGGGAAATGTGGGGTTTAAGCTGCAAAACCTGCCTGGGAGATTGGGAATGGGAAGGGAAAATGTGGGGATTAAGTGCAAAAACTGACTGGGAGATTGGGAACGGGGAGGGCAAATGGGGTTAAACTGCAAAAACTGCCTGGGAGATTGGGAGTGGGGAGGGAAATGTGGGGATTAAGTGCAAAAACTGACTGGGAGATTGGGAATGGGGAGGGCAAATGGGGTTAAACTGCAAAAACTGCCTGGGAGATTGGGAATGGGGAGGGAAAATGGGGTGAAACTGCTGAAACAGCAAAAAACTGTCTGGGAGATTGGGAGTGGGGAGGGAAATGTGGGGATTGAGCTGCAAAAACCTGACTGGGAGATTGGGAATGGGAAATGTGGGGATTAACTGCAGAAATAGCAAAAACCCGACTGGGAGATTGGGAATGGGGATGGGAAATGTGGGGTTTGAACTGCAAAAACTGCCTGGGAGATTGGGGATGGGAAATGTGGGGTTTAAGCTGCAAAAACTGACTGGGAGATTGGGAATGGGGAGGGAAATGTGGGGTTTAAGCTGCAAAACCTGACTGGGAGATTGGGAAATGTGGGGATTAACTGCAGAAGCAGCAAAAACCTGCCTGGGAGATTGGGAACGGGGAGGGCAAATGGAGTTAAACTGCAAGAACTGCCTGGGAGATTGGGAATGGGGAGGGAAATGTGGGGTTTGAACTGCAAAAACTGCCTGGGAGATTGGGAATGGGAAGGGAAAATGGGGTGAAACTGCTGAAACAGCAAAAACCCGACTTGGAGATTGGGAACGGGGAGGGAAATGTGGGGATTAACTGCAGAAACCGCAAAAAACTGACTGGGATATTGGGAATGGGAAATGTGGGGATTAAACTGCAAAAACTGACTGGGAGATTGGGAATGGGGATGGGAAATGTGGGGATTAAGCTGCAAAAACCCGACTGGGAGAGTGGGGATGGGGATGGGAAATGTGGGATTTAAGTGCAAAAACTGACTGGGAGATTGGGAACGGGGAGGGCAAATGGGGTTAAACTGCAAGAACTGCCTGGGAGATTGGGGATGGGGATGGGAAATGTGGGGATTAAACTGCAAAAACTGACTGGGAGATTGGGGATGGGAAATGTGGGGATTAACTGCAGAAATAGCAAAAAAATTACTGGGAGATTGGGAACGGGGAGGGAAATGTGGGGTTTAAACTGCAAAAACAGCAAAAACCTGACTGGGAGATTGGGAATGGGGATGGGAAATGTGGAGTTTAAACTGCAAAAACCTGACTGGGAGATTGGGAATGGGGAAGGGAAATGTGGGGATTAAGCTGCAAAAACTGACTGGGAGATTGGGAATGGGAAATGTGGGGTTTAAACTGCAAAAACTGCCTGGGAGATTGGGAATGGGAAGGGAAATGTGGGGATTAAACTGCAAAAACTGACTGGGAGATTGGGAATGGAGAGGGAAATGTGGGGATTAAACCGCAAAAAACTGACTGGGAGATTGGGGATGGGAAATGTGGAGTTTAAGCTACAAAAATTGATTGGGAGATTGGGAAGGGGATGGGAAATGTGGGGATTAAACTGCAAAAACCTGACTGGGAGATTGGGGATGGGAAATGTGGGGTTTAAACTGCAAAAACCTGACTGGGAGATTGGGGATGGGAAATGTGGGGTTTAAACTGCAAAAANATTTGGGGCTGATTTTTGGGATTTGTGCCCTGGAGTTTGGACTGATTTTTGGGATTGGTGCCTTGGATTTGGGGCTGATTTTTGGGATTTGTGCCTTAGATTTGGGGCTGATTTTTGGGATTTTTGCATTAGATTGGGGTTGATTGCAGGGATTGGTGCCTTGGATTTGGGGCTGATTTTGGGGATTGGTGCCATGGATTTGGGACTGATTTTTGGGGATTGGTGCCATGGATTTGGGGCTGATTTTGGGGATTGGTGCCTTGGATTTGGGGCTGATTTTTGGGATTTGTGCCTTGGATTTGGGGCTGATTTTTGGGATTTGTGCCTTGGATTTGGGCTCATTTTTGGGATCTGTGCCTTGGACAGGACATTTATTCCAGGGGTTGGTGCCTTGGATTTGGGGCTGATTGCTGGGATTTGTGTCTTGGATTTGGGGTTTATTCCAGGGATTTGTGTCTTGGATTTGGGGCTTATTCCAGGGATCGGTGCCTTGGTTTTGGGGCTTATTCCAGGGTTTTGTGTCTTGGATTTGGGGCTTATTCCAGGGATTTGTGCCTTGGATTTGGGGTTTATTCTAGGAGTTTGTGCCATGGATTTGGGGCTGATTGCCGGGATTTGTGTCTTGGATTTGGGGTTTATTCTAGGGGTTTGTGCCATGGATTGGGGCAGATTTTTGGGATTTGTGCCTTGGTTTTGGGCTCATTTTTGGGATCTGTGCCTTGGATAGGACGTTTATTCCAGGGATCAGTGCCTTGGATTTGGGGCTTATTCCAGGGATCGGTGCCTTGGATTTGGGATTTATTCCAGGGATTGGTGCCTTGGATTGGGGGCTGATTGCTGGGATTTGTGTCTTGGATTTGGGGTTTATTCCAGGGATTGGTGCCTTGGATTGGGAGCTGATTACAGGGATTTGGGGTTTATTCCAGGGGTTTGTGCCATGGATTGGGGCAGATTTTTGGGATTTGTGCCTTGGTTTTGGGCTCATTTTTGGGATCTGTGCCTTGGACAGGACGTTTATTCCAGGGATCGGTGCCTTGGATTTGGGGTTTATTCCAGTGATTTGTGTCTTGGGTTTGGGGTTTATTCCAGGGATTGGTGCCTTGGATTGGGAGCTGATTGCAGGGATTTGTGTCTTGGATTTGGGGTTTATTCCAGGGGTTTGTGCCATGGATCGGGGGCTGATTTTTGGGATTTAATTGAGGCGTTGGCGCTGGGTTGAACCCGACGATCCCAAAGCTCTCCCAGCTGCTGACTCCATGACTCTGGAATTGTGTCTCCTTGCTTTTCCCAGATCATCCAGCGCATCACGTGGGTCAGCCCCCCGGCCATCACCAGCGAGTGGAAGAGGAAGGTGGCCCAGGACGCCATCGAGAGCCTGAGCGCCTCCAAGCTGGCCAAGAGCATCTGCAGCCAGTTCCGCACGCGCCTCAACAGCTCCCACGAGGCCTTCGCCGCCTCCCTGCGCCAGGTGCGGGAGATTGGGAATGGGGATGGGAAATGTGGGGTTTGAACTGCAAAACCTGACTGGGAGATTGGGAATGGGAAATGTGGGGATTAACTGCAGAAATAGCAAAAAACTGACTGGGAGATTGGGAACGGGGAGGGAAATGTGGGGTTTAAACTGCAAAAACTGCCTGGGAGATTGGGGATGGGAAATGTGGGGTTTAAACTGCAAAAACTGCCTGGGAGATTGGGAATGGGAAATGTGGGGATTAAACTGCAGAAATAGCAAAAACCCGACTGGGAGATTGGGGATGGGAAATGTGGGGTTTAAACTGCAAAAACCTGACTGGGAGATTGGGGATGGGAAATGTGGGGTTTAAACTGCGAAAACCTGCCTGGGAGATTGGGAATGGGAAATGTGGGGTTTGAACTGCAAAAACTGACTGGGAGATTGGGAATGGGGATGGGAAATGTGGGGTTTAAACTGCTGAAACAGCAAAAAACTGACTGGGAGATTGGGAATGGGGATGGGAAATGTGGGGATTAAGCTGCAAAAACTGACTGGGAGATTGGGAATGGGAAGGGAAAATGGGGTTAAACTGCAAAAACAGCAAAACCTGACTGGGAGATTGGGGATGGGAAATGTGGGGTCTAAACTGCAAAAACTGACTGGGAGATTGGGAACGGGGAGGGAAAATGTGGGGTTTAAACTGCAGAAATAGCAAAAACCTGACTGGGAGATTGGGAACGGGGATGGGAAATGTGGGGATTAAACTGCAAAAACCTGACTGGGAGATTGGGGATGGGAAATGTGGGGTTTAAACTGCAGAAATAGCAAAAACCCGACTGGGAGATTGGGAATGGGAAATGTGGGGTTTAAACTACAAAAACTGCCTGGGAGATTGGGAACGGGGAGGGAAAATGGGGTGAAACTGCTGAAACAGCAAAAACTGACTGAGAGATTGGGAATGGGAAATGTGGGAATTAACTGCAGAAGAAGCAAAAACCTGACTGGGAGATTGGGGATGGGAAATGTGGGGTTTAAACTGCAAAAACCTGACTGGGAGATT